TCAACAGAATTGTTGATCCAAGTAATGATCTTTGCATTATTTGCTTCCCATGTATCTATCAAAAAAGCATCCCCCTCCTCAACATTCTTAGATATCATATAAGTTCCACTAACATACCCCAACATCTTCTTACCCTTAAGAAAATTTCTCATTACATAGCTCTAATATGAATAGTTCTTCCCATCCAACCTTACACTCACAGATTGAAGTGAATCATCTCTTTCAGTAGCCATAATCAACAATCACAGAGAACCAGAATGCAAAAGCAGCGGAAAACAAAATACCAAATTGTAGAAACTGAATAAAGATTGTAGAAACTAAACAAATGTCTTCTTAAAATTATACGATTACTCCAAAACACAAAACAAATTTGCAGAAACTGAACGCAAATATCAAATTGTAAAAGCTGAAGGGAAGATGAAATATCAAAATAATTGCAGAAACTGATGAAATACCAAATAGTTGGATCCACGAAGTTGTGTTCATGATTAAGCCTCGTTCCATAAAACCAGCTTTGATACCATGTTAAAATAATTAAAATCAAACACAAAAAGAAGGTTAAAATTCTGAATATTCTATATATTATGAATGCTTAGTCTTAACCTAAATACAAATAAAGTATATATATATATTAAACTGAAAGTATTATTCTATCCATAATAAATAAGACTACATAAATACTATTTAACATTCTCTACCTATAACTAGTCTCCTATCCTTAAAAATTTTTATAAGATGAGTACATTCAATTTTTTTAATTAATAATAATTTCTTCTCAAAATAGGATGATAAATACTTAAAATGATGGTGTTTTTGTCAAAATAGAGTAAATCTTGCTAGAAGGGTTCTTCAACAATTTTTTTTTCATGAAGAGTAAAATTTTTAAAAAAATAAAAAAAAAACTATTAGAGTTATAAAAAATAATTAACTTTACATCTCTAATTAACTTTTTATATCATCACAAATCGTAAAAAACCTACTCAATTACTGCATTAAATATAGATGTTTTTGGAGGGCAAATATATGAGGTTGTCGCTCCATCGTATTGAAATAGGACTGATATATTGCTTCACAAATCTCTTTCTAATAAACCCGAATGAAATCTAGTTGTCGGTGGAGATGAGAGAATTTCTCATGAAAGGTTTGGATATAAAATTATTGTTTTTAGCGACTTAAATTAGTCAAAAACCATTTCTTCTTAAACTTAATTCGAGGTGCTCCAAACTTCTAATTAGGAATTCAGTGGGCAAAGATGTACTTTCTTGGAGAAAGGTTACCTTGCAGCCCATATCAAAGCAGGCTGGTGAGGCGAAGTTCTCAGCCCTATACCATATCCAAGTATACTAAGGAGATCCAATTATCATATCAAATTTACAAGTTTTTATTATAATTATTAAAATTCATTCGAGTAAAATAAAAGATTAAAATAAATAAAAATTTAGCAAAATTTAGTTGATTTATGATCTAGCCACACAGCAAAACTTAATTGAATTTTTTTAAAAAAACATGTTTTTCCTCCTAACAAGGGATTTATTTTTTAAATTAGTTATTGACTCTTTTACTATATAAATATTAAAAGAATATTTTATTTTTTTAATATAGAATTTAAAACTTTTTAGTATATATATTTTATATTTATAAAAAAATTATTTTTTCAATATAAGATAAGAAATCATGCCATATATATAATATATATTTAAAATAAAAAATTATATTTTTCAATGATAAAAAATATTTTAATAACATGGTACTTTTTAATGTGTGATAAAAAGCTTTTTAAAATAATTTTTTAAACTTTATTATTTATAATATATATAGTTTATATTTATATAGATTATTTTTTAATTTTTTATTATAAAACATTAAAATTTTTATTTTTTTATTTTTTTAGATTAATTCAGATTAAACCGTATGATTCCTATCCATCTTTTTAATCATATCAACTTGACGACTATGATTTTAATGTTAAAAAGTCAAGGACTGATTGATATCTGGGTCCGAGAGAAAATGTAAATCATCCATCAGACAGTGATGACTCCTCTATCCCTACGAAGAAATCTTCAGAGATGTTGCATCTTTGGTCTCGCACTGAGATTAGTGCATAAGTATTTAAACTAATCATATTAATGGCTTTAAGCCCACCTGAGTTAGGTTAAATTGCAAGTATTTATTTTCTCTTCTACGAGACTCAGTTAGTCTTTCTTTTATTGACATGTTTCTTACCTCTTCTTTCTATCTCTAGGGATCCCTCTCAGCGACGGATTAAGACACTTATTTTATTTTATTTTATGAAATCACACAATTAAGCTCAATGGATAATCACAACAGGCTCAATTAATCGTTGTAGAATCACATTAAAAGGCTCAATTAATCGTTGTAGAGTCACATTAAATGATAAATGGTGTCGCAAATTAAAGTAATTTGCCACAGTAATTAGAAGCTGCATAAAAGTATATAAGGGTTATTATTTAAAGTGTTTTTTATTTAAAAATATATTAAAATAATATTGTTTAGTTTTTTAAAAAATTATTTTTAATATCTACTATATGAAATATAAAAAAAATATTAATTTAAAAAAACTTAAATTTATTAAAAATATAATTTTAACTATATTTCTAAACACCCTTTAAATTCCCATCAAAATCTAAATATGCTAAACTTGTGTTTCAGGGTGATGCATAGTCTCAAAATTGTGTGTTTAAATTCTTTCTTTGAATTATTTGAGCTTTAAAAAAAATATTATGGTATTACAACTTTTTTATTCCATTAACCATTAAGATACTACAAGTTTCTTGTCCCGTCTAACCATTAATTATGAATTGTGAGTTCTTGATTTTTTTTTTTAAAAAAAAACTTCATTAACAATTATATCTTTGCCAAAGTGTATTTTTTTAATTTTATTAGTCAGATGTTTTTGGATTAATTTTTCTATATTAACATATATTTTTTAATTCCAATTCTTTTATTTGAAGCAAAGATATCCATATGACAAATAATCAATATGTTTAAAAAATTGCTAAGAATCCAACAACAATAATAATAATTTAAATGCTTGAAAGAATTTTAAAAAGTAAATATCCATGGATACAAGTGCATTGAACTAGTTTCCCTATAAAATCCTAATTATTCAAAAGAGAATTATCAAACATAACATTCCACAAACCAATATGTTTAGAACTGTTCATCAACTAATAATCTTTAGGGTTTATGAAAAATAAGTTATTTTTTTTTCCTTTTTTCTTGTGCAAAGATCCCTAAGCTTGATGCTTCCATTTTCAACAACGGCTGCTTGTTTAGTTACTGGATTAATTAATTAATAGCATTAACAAATGCAATTAGGCCATTAATGGCTTTATTTAATCTCTGACAAGTTCTTTCATTGCCATAAACATATATTGTTTTACGCATCACTGTGATACTTTTGTTATCGTCACTCAGATATTTAGATAATGTTTATTATTTTATTTCTTGTCGTTTTTTAAATTTATTTTTAATTTTAATATATTAAAACAATTCAAAAATAACAAAGAATAATTTAAAATATATATTAAAAAAAATAGCTACGCCAAAAAAAAAAAAAACCGTCCGTTAGCCTATCAAAATTATTATTTCCATGTTTTCATGCCATAATTCTTAGCTTTATTTTATTTTATTTGTCTTTTGCTAAGTAAATTCTAATATAAATATAAACACTGAATTTCTCAGTTTCTGTAATAACCTCAAATTTAGCGAAAAAGAAACCAAAAAACATGAGCATGCACTCGAAAAACACAAATCCCGGATTTGATTTGAAAAACAATGAAGGAAATAAACCTCGATTCCATCAATCTTAGATTTTTGCTCAAAAACCCTTTTCGTCCAATCACAAATCCTAGATTTATTCTCTTCAAGATCCAATAAAAATCCCTTTCAAAATTCATTTTTTTGTCACACATTTTCTTTGATCTGTTTATTCATAGATGCAAAAAAGATTTATACTTTCTGCCTCTTTGTAATCGTTGTCCTTTCGTGTTGTTTTCATTTCAGTTTTGGGAATTGTAAGTGTATTCTGGATACGGAGAGTGAAAATTATGAAGGTACCCCAAGAGTTTGGGGACAATTTGGTGAAGTGGTCTTGACTATTTTGCTTTATTTGTTGAATTTAGAGCATGATTCGTTAGTTTGTTTGAGAAAAAAAATCAAATCTTTGGCCAATTTGGTGAAGTGGGTTTTGATTGTTTTCCTAATTAACGCATTATATGTTGATGAATTCATGATAGTATTTGATTCTCACGTGGGCATAAGGATTTCTGAGATGAGATGAGAGGGGTGTTGTTTTGTGTGAGGTTTAAGGAGAGACAATGACTGGAGGGTCATTGGGGATCCGTTCTAGTAGTTATGGTTCATTGGACAAGCAACTACAACAACAGCAACATAATGGTAATGGTGTTCTTAGTAGTTCCCCCTTTCCTATGCAAACAAATGGCCGTACTAAGCCTGCAAAGATGTTCAAGGAGAAAGAGAGTCTCTCCCATTGGATCTTCAAGTTTGCTGGTAGGAAAAAGGTTGGCATGCTGTTCCTTTGCGTCATCTCTGCCGCGGTTTTTGTCTGGGTTTTGTATGTAGGAAAAGGTATGTTTTGTTTATATGTTGTTATTGCTTAGATATTGATGTGTTCAATCATAGGATATGGGATTTTAGTGGTGATTAAGTTTGTTTCTTAGTTTAGAATAATGCTCAAATTCATCACTGATGCCGTGCTGAATCGGTGCTTATGGCTGTTATGTAGTTCTTGCCTTTCTTTCAGTTGATTGTTTGAATTGGAGAAAGCGTGTTTCAGCTAGTTCTTGCTTTGCTCTTATTACATGAGCTGGGAGATATGTGTACTCGGGGGGTAATTGGTCCCACTGATTGATGTTTATTTTGTACCAAATTTTGAAAATATTCTCTTCTATTCACTTCTCGAACCTTCTTGGATTAGTCTTTACTGCATTTGAACCTTTGCTAGAGCTAACAGTGTTGTGGTCTTTTTGGAGTTCGATTGCAACTGTGGAAATAACTTCTTCATTTTGCTATTTTTGCAGGTGAAGATGCACAAGAAGGTGGCCGGCCCCCGACTATAAGTCTCAGTGACACATCGTCCTTAAGCAGGATTGAGAACAATACTTCTTTTTTCCAAGGAAGATTTTCGAATATTAGTTTGCTTCCTCCTCCTCCTGCATATTTTTTGGGATATACCCTTCCTCCAGGGCACCCATGTAATAGTTTCACTTTACCTCCCCCACCAGCAGATAAAAAAAGAACTGGACCACGGTGTAAGTTCCTAGCCTCCCCCCAACTGTTTTGACTAGTAGATTTTGCTTTTCTTTTTAGGTTTAACAGTCATTAGTTGTAGGCATCACCATGGTCCTAGTTTGTAAACATTCTAAGGTGACAGGGATGTTGAGGTGCTAGGACATATGATAAGTAAGTAATGAGATTTCACTCTCATGTTCCTGAGATTTCTCTGTCATTTCTGTTTCAGCATGTCCTGTATGCTACCTACCTGTGGAAGAAGCCATTGCCTTAATGCCGAAGGTCCCCTCGTTTTCTCCAGTAATTAAGAATTTGACATATATCCAGGAGGATCCTCTTAGTAGAGAAGGAGAGTTTGGAGGCTCTGATTTTGGTGGATATCCTACTTTAAAGCAGAGAAGTGACTCTTATGATATTAGAGAGTCAATGAGAGTGCATTGTGGGTAAGCTCTCTCTCCAAAGATCTTTTATGTGTTTATGAATATTGAAGGTTGTTCCTTTGAAATTTCAGCCAAATCTATATTTCTAGGATAATCATTCTAGTAACTAGTTATTGGACCAGTTTCTCTTACTGTTGCCAACTTATAACTTTTCACTATGCATATTTTTGACACATATGTGCACTGATCAGATTTGTCCAAGGGAAAAGACCTGGCCAGAATACAGGATTTGACATGGACAAAATTGACCTGGATGCGATGGAGCAGTGCCATGGCGTTGTTGTTGCCTCAGCAATATTTGGTATTTCTCCGTGTAATGGGATCCCAACTTATCTTTCATCTGTTGATTTGATGGCTTGTTACTAAATGATCTCCTTTTCTTTCCTCTCAGGAGCTTTTGATGACATACAACAGCCACGTAATATTAGTGAATACTCCAAGAACACTATCTGCTTCTTCATGTTCGTTGATGAAGAAACAGAGGCTTATTTGAAGAATAACAGTGGTCTTAATGACAGCAGGAAAGTTGGTATATGGAGAATCGTTGTTGTCCATAATCTTCCTTACACAGATGGAAGGCGCAACGGGAAGGTACTTGCCGTAAACTTCATTCAGTTCCTTTTGTTTTGGACTTCTGGGTGCAAATTTGGCTTTAATGGTTGTCTGTTTGGTCATCGATGACACTATAGCTCTAATTATTTGATTTCCTTTGGCTTCTTTATGATCCATACCATGAATGGAAGTAAGATGCAGATGGCTGGATGAACTTGATTTTTTTCCATCACTTCCGGAACCGAAAAGTCTTATGCAACAATGATCAATTACTCCTTCCAACTCCCATACCTGCTTCCCTGCTACCACCAATAGATAAAAAGTGAACCAGCTTATTTTTTTTTCCCAAAATCAGCAGCCGACTCATGTTCACTAACGTCCACGTTACACTAGATTGTACTTTAGCATACTTAGTAAACCTGGTTTTGTCCATGGCAGGTCCCAAAGCTTCTATCGCATAGAATGTTTCCGAATGCCCGCTTTTCCTTGTGGATTGATGGAAAACTTGAACTTGTTGTCGATCCATATCAAATTTTAGAAAGGTGACACTGATGTCTGCTCTCTCACTCTGTGTGCGTGCGTGTGCCATTGTGTCTGCCTTTTCTCCTTAATCTAGTTATTCCATTTATGCATAGAATAAGTCTACTAGTATCCGGATATAAGCCACTTGTTTCTAATTGAATTGATTAAATTACCTTGGTCCTATTATTTTTTTGAGCTAGGTTTGTTTTCAGTGACAATACTTGACAATCTGGCGATGCAAGAAACTTTTGATTACTCAAGTTTCTGGAATTAGACATCAGATCCTCTCCAACATATGCGTTCATTATAACTTGAATCTCCTTGTTTGATTGCCTGCTTACTCTCTTTCCACTTCTCAATTTCTTATTTTATCTTTAAATTAACTTTGCATTTGCTTTCCTCTCTTTTTTCAATTTGTATTCGTTGTCCTTTTTTGTCATCCCAATGGTCACTCTTTTTTTATTTCTCAATATTGGCTAGATTAGAATCCTGAACTCAGAAACTTTCATCCAATGGCAATCAGTTATCACGAACCTTAAATTCTCATGCCCCCAAATCGCTATGAAGTTTATCATTGAGTAATCTTTTTTGTTTGATTTGGAGATCTTTGAGATTTCATATCACCGCTTACATGCTTATAATTCCAACAAGTTCTGGTTGACTTTTTTGGTCCTGGTATTTTCATTAAATGTATCCTTTTCTTCCCAAGTAAATGGACGAAATTGCTCCATGTAGCTGATCTCAAATTGATTGAGATTGTAGGCTTTACATCAGTCAAATACATCCTTTTCTTCCTAGAACATCAAATCACATCCTGCAATGTCCTGCAAGTGCCTCTCACTGAAACATTTGTCAATTGGAATGGTGATGGTGTGATGCACATCTTTGTGGACCAAATCATATTGTATTTGATTGAATAAAAACACTGTTTCTGAGAGAAACGAATGGGGTGTACATCTGAAACCAAATGGTAATTTTCTCTCATTATTGAATGAAAACACTGTTTCCTTTAAAGGTTGATCATGGACATTTCATGTGCTTAGCATCGATAACAATATAAGTTAGTGAGTGGATACTTAACAAGCTTATAAAACACTTGCCTCTTTGATCATTACTAAATATTTCAAATGACGTCCTCTCATGCTTTGATCAATTTAGATGATATTATTATTAGTTATTTGCCTGAATCAGCTTTGGTGCACCACGCTTATTTCTTGAGCTACTCTTCAGGTTCTTGTGGAGGGAAAATGCCACTTTTGCAATTTCTAGACATTATCGACGCTTTGATGTGTTTATTGAAGCTGGGGCAAATAAAGCTGCTGGAAAATATGAAAATGCCTCCATTGACTTTCAGGTTGAATTTTATAAAAAGGAGGGTTTGACTCCATATTCTGAGGCCAAGTTTCCTATTACAAGTGGTAGGTGCAAGTTCCTGGTTTTCTTTTGGTGTTTTGTTGCCTGTCCTTTGTCTTTGATATAGTTCCTGTTCACCTGTGGCTCTGCAGATGTCCCTGAAGGATGTGTTGTGATAAGGGAGCATGTTCCTATTAGCAACCTTTTTACTTGTCTTTGGTTCAATGAAGTTGATCGCTTTACTTCCAGGGACCAAATCAGCTTTTCCACTGTCAGGGATAAGATTCATGAGAAAACAAATTGGACTGTAAACATGTTCCTGGACTGTCAAAGGCGAAACTTTGTTGTTCAGGTAATCATTTTATGTACTGATGGTTCTGTTTGTACCAGAATATCATGTGAACACCCTGTTCATTGGAAAATTTTCTTTGTGCTCGAGTGAAATAGATTTTTGTGTTCAAATGAACCTTGTTTGAATTTGTGTGAACTGTTAAACATCGAGATGTTTTAGAAACAGATATTTATCTAATGATACTTTTCCTTCTCTTGATAATCCATCTCTTCAACTCTTCTGTTGTCTCCTTGTGCATTTCTTTTTAACCCTGGACTGTTTGTTGCTATGTGCAGAGATACCATAGAGATGTTTTAGAACAGATGGCTCATGGTCCGCCTGTTTATCCTCCATCACCACCACTGCTGCTAGCACCACCACCACCTCTTTTGGTTGATGAACCTCCACTTCAAACAACACCTGATACTTCAACTGAAAAGGTTATAGGTGCTCCTGTCCGGAGAGCCCCAGTTAGGCGTGGAAGGAGGTCTGGCTCTAGACGCCCCCGCAAAGTTGCTGCTGGTGGCAAGGAAACTGATGCAAGTTAAAAATTTTGATCAGGAAACGTATCATTCCTTTTCCTTCTCTTCTAGAATTGTTTGCAGGAACTGAAGATTCGTGCCATATGAGTGTTATAGTTCTGCCGCTTCAGGGAGTTCCTTCTCATTCTTTTTTTCCCTACCTTTTGAATTATCCTTTCCAACTCATTTTTTAATGTATATAGATTAAGATTTTAATAATTATGACATGGGTTGCTACCAAAATCCTCACTGTAGTGACCCATTTTTTTGTTCATTATGATAGCAAGGTCATGTTAGACTCGATTATTTAATAGTAATACTAATGTCTCTTCTTTTAGGAACAAATAAATATAATGAACATCATTTTCCACTTGCCTTGTCGCTCTACCATTTGTTTTGCATTATCGTCTGGTTTGCTGAGGCAGAACATAATATGTTGAGGTGTTACTCTTACAACAGCAGTTATTTCTACCAGATTCAAGGCTTACAACTAGACAGCTGCATTTACCAGTGCTGTGGCTCAATTTTGAGTTTGAAGCAGAAAAATAATCGAACTACTGAATTATGAGTGGCTATTAGAAACCACTGAATCTTATCAGAACAGTAATTTATCTTTTAGCAATTAAACGTGTAAACATGGGTGTGCGCTTGTGGCATGAGCCATGTTCCTTGCCAAAACGTTATTTGCTTAAATTTAGAGTGTAAAACAAATCAATCTAAATGGACTCCCCCTTGCTAACTTAACCCTAGCAACAGCCAAATAAAGAGACGAGGCTCTCTCTCGCATTTAATCTTGTCGGAATTCTTTAGGCTTGATTTGACACCGGAGACCCACAGATCTGAACAACCAAGAATCATTCACGGCGATGATTCTCTTCCTTTTTCACTAAATCGTAGGATAAAACTGCCTGGTGTGGGCATGCTTACTGCTCAACCTCGTTTGACAGAATAGTCGGCACCACAGCTAGCTACGAGATTGTCATTTTTTGAGGATTTGTATCGATTCTTTATGTCGTATAATATTTATGATTCATGAATATCTGGATAAATGCAGAATAGCTCCCAAGACACGGCTTAATTTATGGAAGCAAGCTTTTTTTTCCTTTACTGAGCTGATGTAAAGAGAAGCAAGCAACTGCAGACATCATCTGGAATTTGTGTCAAAAGCTCATCTCAAAACACTGTGCTAAACTCGTTTCTGGTACAGCTGAAAGACTTGCTTTTAGCCAGCGAAACAAGGCAGGCATTCCTTGATTGATGCAGGCATTGCATCACATGCGACAAATAAAAGCTAGAGCGAAAAACCGACCATCATGTCCACATGCACATGGCAAGCGTTGGCCATGATTCTTTGGAGAAAAGCTTGTCTCGAATCTTTTGTTCTGAATCATAAATGCACATGGCCATAGTAATGTACATCCTGCATGATCATCCATATATCAAGCTCGGGTTGGATAATCATGGCCCATGTCTCACATCTGGGATTAGACTTGCTCATCAGTCACCACTCGCCTGAAACCAATACAAGGTGATCACTGCATGTTCGTATTTCCTAGCAAAGACGGTGTCGATTGTGATTGAAAGATTTAGATTTAGATTGGCGTAAGCCATTCTTGTTCTCTCACTATTCCGACAGCTGAGTTGATGATATGCTAGCTAGCACCATTGAAATGACTACAAACAACCAGAATTCATGACAGCAACGCCTCAGCCCCCTATCTCTTTAAACTTGATGACGACGGAGAATCTGATGCGCAGTCAGTTTCAAACTATAAAGAACAGCGAGCTAGTATTACAGGTCTAATTAAAAAAATTATTGGATATCTATCACCCACTACTTGTAAATATTTTTTTTTTAAATTAATACAACGTGATGTTATTTTACTAGTAAGTTAACATTTTATAGCCAAAAAAAAGGGGGGGTGAGAGACAAGTTAAGATCCGCGTAGCCTTTTTTGATAATATATTTTGATGAAAATGCTTTCATTTTAAATGACATAAATGATATTATTGAAATATAATGTGGGAGTAGTTCTTAAGAAATAATTCTGAAAAAGTTAAATAACATCCATTTATATTTGTTTATTTCATTATTCTAATTGATCTTGAAAGGCATCTCGAGCTCCCTTTAAGGCCAAAAAATCGCTATCTACTAGCGTTGCTAAGCATTTCCATTTTCAAAGGGCATGATGATTACATCCAATGGCAATTCCATTTCCATTCACAAACTTCGGCTTTTATTTGTTTTTTCAAAGGGCATAATTACATCTACGAAGTCTACAAGAAATCCAAGCTTTAAGTAACCAATTAGGGCTAATTAGGGCATGGAATCAATGACTAATTAGCCTGCCATGGCCCATCACTGAAGTCCGACATTGCCCCCACTTCTGTAAAGAGTCAAGACTATACCATTAGCGCGCGGTACGCACGAGGCAGCGGTTTTGAATAAAAAAAATATATTAAAGTATAAAAACAAGTTTCTAGATATTGATGACTTGTTTTCTAAAAAATATGATTTCTAAAAAATATAATTTTTAAAATGATATTTTTATTTGATGTTAAAATAAAAAAATATTTTATCTAGTTGAATTAACATAAATTAACTCATAAAGTTTACGAGAATAATCTTAAAAATAAATTAAAAAGTTTAATTTTAAATTAATTTAATATTAAAAAATAAAATTAATAAAAAATTAAATTAAATTAAAAAATTAAGTGAATTCTAATCAAGCAAGTAAACTCACGATCCAAATCATGAATGTCATGAAATTCAATAAATTATTTATTTCATGAATTATTTTTTATTTATTTATATGATATTAAAACACGTGATAATTTTGTATATAAAATATTTTTTCAAGAAATAAAAAAATCATGATAATCATGTGGTGCATAAAAATACGTCATTGATAACAAAGGATGATATTGAATTCTTTTAGGTTTGAGTTAAAAAAATAAATTACTAATAACAAATGATAAAATTATATTTTAAAAAAAATAAAAAGAAAAAAAATTAAATAATAAAAAATAATAGTAGCTTGGATGTTGCAGATTAACTTATTAAATCTATAACCCGGCGCACGAGTTTAATTGGATTGGATTCAATATATATATATATATCTTTGACCTATTTTTATTTTTGTAATTTCTTAAAAGGACAGATGACATGTTGTGAGTCCTATTTATTTATTAAAAAAAGAGCAAATAATATGTCATTTGTTTTCAACATAATCTTGTGATAAGAGATCGCCGGAAACACAGGACTTTGAATTTTTTTTAGCTTTAAAACTCATTTTCAATTTATTTTTACCTAAAACACTTAGATAACATTTTGATAAACATATCAAAGACTTCAAAAAACTAAAAATAACCTGAACCCAAAAAACATTTTCACGGTTAGATCTATTTCTTTAAATAAAGAGAAGAAAACAAAACATTTAGATGAAACTATTCTTATGAAATAGAACTCATTGATACTGATTTCAATTTCTTTGGAGACTAAAATTATCATCAACAATAATTTTTTCTCTTTATATTAAAATTCAACATTTTCTCTTTACTTACACAAAAGAAATGATTGAAAAATAAATGATTGAAAAATAAGTGAAATGAATTTTGGTGACAAAAATAAAATTTTAACAAATAAAATGATAGATCACTATAAACTAAAAAAATATAAGGATCAAAATAAAGTTTTTATATGAAATTCAAAATCATCATTTATTTTACTAGCTTTTTATACTTTAATCCTTTAACTTTTAATTGAGCCTTTTCTTCTAAAAAATACATAGTTATAAGTTAATTTAGATTTGAAGATCAAATTCAAAATTATTATTATAGTTTTAAAATTCAGTCTGATGGATCGACTCTGGAATCTTACTTATTGAGGGTTAGAAATGAGCTAGATTTATAAAAAAATAAAATAATTAAAATTTTTGCTGACTAGTTCACCGGATAAAACATAATAAAAAATTTAATTGGAATTTATTGATTATTTTTTTATTTTTAATAAAATAATATTATTTTAATTTATAAAAAATTAAAGTTGGCTAGATGACTGATAAAATCCATAATCCAAAGTATTAAACTGGATAGATCACCGGACCAGGTTAAAAACACCAGATATTATCCTCGGATATTTATTAAAGAATAAACACTACAAAGTGCTACAGTGAAAACGTAACAGGCAGCTTAGTTTCTTTTAATCAATTAATGCACAGTCGTCATATTACGTCAGTGCGACTAAACACATGACACGTGTCCAATATTAGGACAAACTGTCCTCTATTTTGGGCCCCACAAGATCCTTATCTTGACAGAAAGACACCTACATTCTCCATTTATCTTCCCCGCACGAATCCGCTGACAAAACTCTGCTCCGTATCTCAAAGAGAACTCTTTCTCTCCATGTTCCTTTGTTTCCCATCTCCTCAGAATTAAAACCATGCCTAAATTCCCAAACGGACGACGACCGTCTGATTAAAGCATCAGCCCTCAGATGACATCATCTTCGTCAGCTTTCTCTACGATCTGCATCCTACACTCCCTGATAGCCATAACAAGTGGAACACTGATGATGTTCCAAATGAAGGAAATCTACACCTTCACACATGGTAATGAAACTGCCACAAAGCTGATGGGGTCGACCCCACACGACCAGCTCCTGATCCGGACCTCTGATTCATTTTCCGGGTTGCTTCTGTTTGATATCGGGTTCTTGATATTCATGGTTTCCTTTGTCAAGGATAGAGAGTTCCAATCATTCTTTGCAAAGGGGTGCGCTGTTCTTCATGTTTTCATGGTTCTTTGGAGGGTTAATTTTGAGAGGAGAGTCGAGGTGTCGGCTTGGGTTTGTTTGAGACAGACAGTTGGTGATATCTTATTGGCTCTCTCTTGGGTTTTATTTCTTGTTTGTTCTTGGAGAGAGAAGTATGATTAGGGCTGTACTATTTTCTTTAATCTCGATATTTAGGGTTTTCTTTTTCTTTTTCTTTTTTTCCCCTTTTCCGACGGAGTGTTATTTTCCTTTGATGAGATGTGTATAGTCACGCCCTACCCTTCGTCCTCGAGGGGACAACTCTTAGGCTTCTGCTGTGTGAACTGTGAAAAGCTTGTTGTTATATTGACGCACCTGATTTTTCCATGGGCAACTGGGAATTTATTTACTTATTTATTTATGAATTGTGATGAGCAAGACGCAAGTGGCGCAAACCTTTAAGAGCGGGTTTCAATACAAAATGCATCGACCTTGTTCTCAAACTCATCTGCAACTTTACAAACCTAATACAAACCTTAGTGCCTCAAAAGCTCAGGGTAAATCACACCTAAATTTACCAAAAATATACAGCAAAAGATCGCCACAACGGACGTGGT